GCGCTCATTGTCGCCCCCCAGGGGGGCCATATTTTGAGGATGTCTCGATCGGTTTGCCTGTTTTGGTGGCCAGACTCGTGGGCACATATTCTCCCCAGGATGCCACAGGAGGCTCCAGCAGGCTTCAGGAGGCCCCAGGAGGCCACATGAGGTCCCAGGAGGTATCAGGAGGCCACAGGAAGATTCAAGAGGCCACAGGATGTCCCAAGAGGCTCCAGGAGGCCCCAGGAAGCTCCAGGAGGCCTCAGGAAGCCACAGGAGGCCCCAGGAGGCCACAGGAAGCGCCAGGAGGCCCAGGCAACAGGAGGCCCCGAAGTAATCTTTCCGGGGGGGCTGTGCTTTCCAGGAAAGTGGCTTCTGGGGATGGGTGCGGATTCTGGGTTGTATTCCTACGTGTGGTGCAGGCGCCATGGCTGCCTTCCATGGTCGGGGCGGTCGCCGACCCCGCGCCGCCGACGGCGTCAAATTCCCGCCCCCCCTCCCCCAAACGTGCCCGCTGCAATCCACCTTCCTTCGGGGAGGGCTGAGCTGGGCCAAATCTGCCCAACTCAGCGGCCTGCAGCTGCCCGGCACTCCCGTTGAGGCATTCAGTTGCCAGAGCTGGGGAAAACCGCCCTCCCTCCTCGCTCCCCCTCCTCCCTCACCTCTCGCCCCCTCCGCGCCGGCCAGACAGGCGACCATGTCTTCCGCGCGGGGAGAGGGGGGCGTCCCGCGGGGAGGGGGGCTTGAGGGGGGCAGGAGAGGCGAGGAGGACGACGACGTGGCGATACGAGACACCGACGGGGCGCCCGCGCCCCTTCACCATCGCACAGAGGCTTGCCCAGAAAGGCCCCAGGAGCAGGAGGCCTCCGAAGGCAACAGGAGTGGCTCCAATCCCATGTGGTTTAAGTATGCTCCTATAGATTGGGCCTCACCTGGAGCACGACTCCTTGATGTTATGCGTGTGTTTCTATAGATTGTCCTTCTCTGGTGTATACAATCCTAAATGTGTTACGCCTGTTCCTATAGTTTGGGCCTCCCTTTGGGCACGAGTCCTTGGTGTTTTACGTGTGCTCCTATCGACTGCCGTTCTCCTGCGGCTCCAATCCGCAATGTTTTATGTATGTCTGTTCCTATAGATCGGGCTTCTCCTGGGGCACGAATCCTCCCTAGGAGGTCCCAGGAGGCTCCAGGAGGCTACGCGAGGCTCCAGGAGGCCTCAGGAGGCCACTCAAAGCCCCAGGAGGCCCCAATTGGCCCCATGGAGGCCCCAGGAAGGCCCAGGAGGTTTCTGGAGGCCCCAGGAGGCCCCAGGCTCATGCGCAGAGACGCGCTCGTACTACCGAAACTCAGTCACGCTCCAATCCGTTCGAAGTTAGATTCATGACCAGACCGTCACAACACAAGCCCGCTTATATTCGAAAACTCTTGCGCCTAGACTCTCACGGCGGACAGGTCCATGCGAATAGATGCACCTATGGGGAGCTCCACGCAGTGAGTACTTACTTGGACGCCTCCTACTCCTCATTCCTATTCTTCTCCTCCTCCTCCTCCTCATCCTCATCCTCATACCTAGACTTACTCATACACAGACTTACTCATAACATACTTACTCATACTCAGACCTGATCATATTAGCTTGCTCATACTCAGACCTACTCTCACTCATACCTACTCATACTCAGACTTACTCATGCTGAGATTCACTCATACCCAGATTTACTCATATTCAGACCTTCTCATTGTCTGACTTACTCAACACCAGCAGATTGTGAGGATGTCTCAGGCGGGGCGCTGGTTTCAGCACCCCTAAGGGGAGCCGCCGAGGGGTATGACCCGGTCCCGTTCGCGGCCGCTTGGAGAGCAGATTGCGAGGATGTCTCAGGCGGTGCCCAGATTCGGAATCCTCTCCAGGAGGCCCCACGAAGCACCAGGCGGCCCCAGGAGGCTTCAAAATGTTCCAGGAGGTCACAGGAGGCCCCAGGAAATTCCAGGAGGCCCCAAGAGGCCCCAGGAGGCCCCAAGAGGCCCAGGAAATTCCAGGAGGCCCCAGGAAGCCCCAAGAGGCCACAGGAGGCTTCAAGGGGCTCCGGGAGGCCCCAGGAGGCCACAGGAGGGCCCACGATGCCCCAGGAAGCCCCAGGAGGTGCCAGAGGGCCCCAGGAAGCCCCAGGAACACCAGGAGGCTCCCGGAGGCCCCAGGATGCCACAGGAGTGGCTCCAATTTTATGTGTTTTACATATGTTCCTACAGTGTTCCACTCCAGGAGTGGCCGCAGAGTGCGAGGATGTCTAAGGCGGTTTTCCTGTTTTGGTGGCCAGAGTCGTCTGCGTTCAACGCAGTGTCGGAGGATGTCCCAGGTGAGGCGCTGGCTTCACCACCGCAAGGAGCTCAGATTGCGGGGATGTCTCAGGCGGGCCGCCTGGCTCGGTGGCCAGGCTCGTCTGCGGGGCGGGTGCACCTCCCAGTCTGCCAATACCCACGCTCATTTCTATCCGAACACGCTTGCGCCTGGACGCTC